TGCAAGGCATTTCCTCTTCTGCACTGACTCCCTTGAGGGCTCAGCCTTATCTGCCTGCCTGTACTATTTTTATCTAATTCAGCTGCCTATAACATTCCTCCATCTGAAGAAGCACCCCAAAGTGCCATGAGGGAGTAATAGGCGATGGCCAGTTCTGGCTCGCTGGTAACTTGCTTCCCCATTTGATCCCAATGTAATCAATTTTACCGGAGCAGTTACACTCAGCATCTTATTGGTTGACCATAGTTTTGTCCCACCACATGCCCACCTTTCCATTTCTCGTGTTTTCCCACCTTGGACTTGCCTCACTTCATGGGTCTGCTCTATAAACATCCCCTAGAAGAGGAAGGACCTTTAGCAACCCACCCAGGTCTTCTTTCTCGCCCACAGACAGCAGCTCTCTTGCTCCCCAAAAATACATCCTACTCTTTAAAAAAAAAAAAAAAAAAGTAAGGGTCTCCTGTTAGCCACTCTTAAATAAGAGCAGACATCTGATCTTCAATCTTTTGGCAGGGAAAAAAATGAAAGTTATCATTATAAACAAAAAACACCAAAAACTATAGCTAATATGCTTTGAGAGGAAGACATTGCATCCTGTGAAGAAAAATAAATTTTTAAAGATTTAGAGTAAGAAAAATCGAGCCCCGCCCAGGCCTAGAGAGTGTGTGAGAGAGCGTCCAGCTTCCCTGCACTTGCAGGACCTCTCCGGACCAAAACTCAGTAACACCACATGAGTGAGACCCTCTACTGCGCCCTCAGGACCTCTCCATCCCTCTGGAACCCCTGCCCCTAAGAACACCCAGTGAGTGAGAATTTCTGCAACGCTCTCAGGACCCCCAGATCAGGCCCAAGCCCAGGCCTGGCTAGTGTGTGGGACAGCTCCTGCGCTCCTCTGTGCCCGCTGGGCCAGGGACACAACAGAGGGGCAAAACAGGTTCACTGTTATGACAGAGGGGCACAACAGGTCCACTTCCAAGGGCTGCAGCAGGAAGGAGCTGAGCACAACAGCTAGACCCAAGCCAGACATAGCTGGATAAACTCAAACTTAATAGATCTGCACCCGAAATTCAGTAGGTGCTAAGGTTATAACTGCACCAAAGCACTACACCAAACGTCAGAGGTCAGTGCTATACAAAATGACAAAGACAAGGAGCAAAATGCAATCTCAGGCCTCAAACCCACCTAGACCAAGTGTAGAGGACACTAGCTAAGCTGAAATGAATGAACTAATAGCATCAGAACAAACAACAGCAGAAAGGTACAAAGGAACTCAGAGCAGAATAAATTTCTGAAATAAAAAAAGAAATCTTTGAATTCATAGCATCTGAAGTAAAGAATCAAATACAGAAACATACAAGGGAAATCCAATGCCCACCCAGAACAAGTGCAGAGAACACTAGCACAGCTTAAATGTATGAATTAACAGCATCGGAGGTAAAGAAACAACAGCAGAAAGGTATAGAGGAACTGAGATCAGAATTAATTTCTGAAATAAAAAAATCTCTGAATTCATAGCATCTGAAGTAAAGAATCAAATA